GAACATAATATTCAGTAGATCCGTTACGTGTGTGTAAAGCAAAGCCGGAGCTGATACTATTGAAGTTGTATCGGTTTCCAATCCTTGACACATACAGACGCGACGTGTGTATGTACATACGCGGCTGAACTTCAAACTCCTTTGAGTCTAAAATTAATGCATTCCGCATCGATCAAGGAACCGTGCACACCGCAACCGCCTTTGTCCACTTCAGCAGCGATATTTCGCGATGCAAAGGGCCGCAACTTGCGGGATCAATAACATGCAGCCGACCGACTGAGCCGCAATGTCCGAGTTTTTCGAGTTCATTTCATTCATTTCGATCACGTTCACAATATATCGCATCATCATTCTTCTCTTTAGCGACAAATTCTTTTACGTGTTCTATTTTTTTTCCCTATAAATTTGCGATACATTTCTCGGCGCCATCAATAATTCAAGAACTTCCCGATTGAATATTTTATCGAACGTGAAATGTACGTCTTTTGTATATTTTCGCACAAGTTGCCTCGCGTTCAAAGTTTATTTTCTAAAAGATCCCTGTAATGTTATACTTGTTTCGAGATACAATTTCAAGAAGCGTGGACGTTGATAATACGGCGGCAAGTTAGAAATTAAATCATAATATAAAATTATGTATAAACAGAGAGCACTGTCTGCTTTCAGAGGGCTGTATATTTTAAACTTTGAGATGATAGAGAATGTGGGTTTGCATATGCATCAGAGTGAATTAGAAGAAAAATATGTGAGAGAGAGAGAGAGAGAGAGAGAGGGGGGGAGGGAGAAAGAGAAAAAATTATTCTATATTTTATTCTACATATCTTGGTTTTACGTTTCTGTGTAATGCAATTTTTAATCACGCATCCTTTTCACTTTAAATCTCATAAAAAGCAACAAATACGGACACGTATTTGTTACAATTATATTTTACGGTAAAGTCGATTTACTCTCATATAATCTTCTGAAAAAAATCGTATATCATAATCTAGTTTATTTCAACATTTATATAATCCTATTTTAATGGAACAATATTAAAAACGCTGTTAGTAGAAATATATGAATTAAATTCTTGTTTCACATACATAATATTGGTAATGAAAAACACGAAAAAGGATTGCCCGAGAAAACTAAGAATAAATAAACTAATAAATGTGAACACGTTCTCAAACATCTCTTTTTTCTCTTTGTATCATCGATGAAAAATTCACTAATTGGAAACATAGGTAGGAAAACGTTTTAGCAATCTCAGGCAATTTAGCGGCCTGTTAAGTTCTCCGCAAACTACAAACACGCTCAGTCCTGAGACCGTCCGATGCCATTCACCTGACCGGAATGAGAGTCACTGGTTACTACCTGGCTAGGAGAGCGGAGAGTGTCCTCGTAAAAGCGAAAAAGAGCGAGCGAGAGAAGGAGAGGCGGCCTCGTCGGCTTGAAGGGGATAGTTGAGGATGGAGGTAGGCGGCGTTTTAAAGAAGGACACCCGATATAGGAGGCATTGTACTCAGCGAACGAACCAGCGTCGGGCGCTGGTTCCAGGTGTTGGAGGGCAGCCGAGAGGCAGACCACTCGCGACAAGCCAGGGCACGACGGTAGTACGTTGCCTGTGCTTCTTCTTCTTCTGCAGTTCACCATTCAGGTGCAGCGCGTCCCGACGGTGTAACGCGTCGCGGCGGCTGCTCGCGCGAGTGAATCGCGACGGTTCTGTCTTTTGCTCGAGTTCTCTGTGAACTGGTTTGAAGGTTCTCCGCGGACTGGCGTGGGAGGAGGCGAGGAGGAGGAAGGGAGCGGTGAACGGACAAAGGGAGGCAGAAAGAGAGAGAGAGAGAGAGAAAGGCAACTTCCTCCCGGTGGGTACTCTCGCGTGTCATCATCCGCGGCAGTGTCATAAACATTGTGCAGCCGCGGCGCGTCGTCAGTGGGTCGAGTCATCGTGGATCCGCTCGCTTCGTCTCGGCGGATCCCGCGAGCAGGAGCAAGAGGGAAACCTGTTTTGTGGAACGATGCTCTAATTCTGACGTGAGAGGATAGGTCGCCGCGGGTTCAGGTACGCGAAAGAAGAGTAAAACCGTCTACATCCGGGCGCGATATAAAAAATGTGCGGTTACAGTTAGAAATGTGAAATAAAAGCGCGGTCGTAAACTCGTACAATAATGGAAACAAGAGAAGCTCGACTATCCTGGCAGTGATGGAAATGGAACGAGGGAGGCACCGAGACGTGGTCTTTCAATTTTCGAAGATTTCAGAGAATTTCTTCGTGTAATATTTTTCCCTAAGCTGATGGATATCTCATGTACTAAGGCGAGCAAAACGGATTTATCTTGTGTGCGTGCAGTGTGCGTTACGCAAGTCTCTGCGCGAGAGTTGGTAAGGCGTGATTTGCAGTGCCTCTGGTTCAGAAATCTCATTTCCAACACTGCCTACTGGGGTGGTTCGATTTCGATATGAATAGAATTTTGATTAGCTAAAAAGCGATCAATTTGAGTTTCTGGTTGTTCGGAAAACATTGTTCTTTAACAATATCGCAATAAAGATAAGAGAAGTAAATAGTTATGTCAACTAATAACGAGTCACAAAAAACAAGTTGTCCCCTAATTAGAATTTTGTGGACAATTTTGACGCGAATTATGATACATTTCATCAAAGTCTATAAATATCGTATCGCTTCAGGATTATTAGCAATTCCATGCTATATATAGAACATTCCGCGACCATATCTCACTTTCTCTTAACTCACAAGTAGAGTACGAATCAAAAATAACGATTATTTTAAAGTATTATTACCTTTGAGTAACAAGCGATTGGAAATTAAATCGTTTCGACAAAAAATCTTTAACAGCTTTCGCTCAAACAGATGAATAATCGTGAAAGAGTAAATTAAAATCTCGATTTTTTAACTATTAAATAGTTTTTCACATTAAAATGTACACTGCTCTGTTATAAATTGTTTTCATAAAA